ACTCCATGAATTTAAATTATGGATCTTTCTATGGAAAGAAATGTAGTAATATCACTTTGATTGTGTGTGTTCCGTTTAATGCTACGCATAAAATGAAAACTCAAGTTCAATATGGAAATAAAATTAATGGAGGAAGATTCTATATCAAAATTGTTTACTTGTCCGATTGAAAAGTGAGGAGTAATTTACTTTTGTATCCTCAATAGCAATACACGTATTATTGGTTGAAATAATAACCCTTCAGAGTTCAACATAAATACCAACTCATACCAATCATTTAATCTTAATCTTCACCGTTAGTTTGAGATATTTAATGGTTAGATTTGTTTCTCATTTCTCTCCTAGGTCACCTTTCTCACAAGAGCCAATCCCTATATATAAGGTGCGGTTCCGATGAGAACACTCCTTAACGTGAGAAATGAGAACGCTCCGAATCGATGCAATTTATCCTTCACAAAACTGCACATTTATAGTTAAAGTAATGCAAAATTCTAATGTGCACATTTACGTTTAAAATTCCGCACAGACGCAATGCACACTTTCCAATTTTCTATATGCACGTTTCTGATTTACATGATGCACAATGCTCAAATCCAACGCTCCAGAATCATTCTCATTTCTCTCCTAAGATGGTATTCTCATTTGATCCTTACCCTATATATATATATATATATATATATATATATATATATAGAGAGAGAGAGAGAGAGAGAGAGAGAGAGAGAATTGGGATCATATACAAAGTCTTCTTAATTTACAAAATGCAAATAGATCTCAGCCCTCTATTTTAGTTGATAGAACCGTAGCTTTCATCTTGATTATATTAGACAATTAAGGGCTTATTAGTCTTTTAGGTATATTTTATTTTTAGAAATAAAATCATGTCTGATTACGTTCAATTATTTCTCTCTTGCACGTTCATTCAGCCATATCTTTACGATCAAAGCTTCACCATTTCTATCTCTTCTCCATCTCCATCTCCTCCTCAATCTCAAATTTTAATAGAATCAGATTGGTGTTCTTCTACTCAAGTGTTCTTCTATTCGAATGTCCTGAATTCCGGCACGTATAAGGAGACGCCAGAGATCAGACCATTAGTTCTCGAATGCCGGAACTATATTATGAACGCCAAAAAAACATTATTTTTTCTTTTATGAAATCCATCAATTTTGTGTTCATACAAAGTTCTTGTAAATTTAGTAACAAAAGTGTTGTATTTCTTTGGCATTTAGAATAAATTTCTTATATATTTTGCGTTTGTGTTCTCATGAATTACGTATGCATGTGAATTGAGTATACTAGTATAATGCAGATGGCATAATAATAAGATGCAAAATATGAACTCCTAAAAAGCACATATGTGCAGTTAACATATGATGTAAAAGCACAATATGTGAATTGTGTTAATGAGCAGCTCTTGTAATTTTAGTATCTAAAAAATATTGTAATTTTAATGTGCAGTTTTTTTACTATTTAAGAAATGTTTCTTATAAATTATGTATCTTGGGACATCACGAATCACGTATGCATGTCAGTTGATTATACAATGCAGATGTCATAACGATAAAATGCAGCATATGAACTACTACAATGCACATGTCATCTTACTAAAATGCAGTGTATGAACTTCGACAATGCACACGTCATCTTACCAAAAAGCAGTGTATGAACTTCTAAAATGCACATATCATAATGATAAAATGCAACTTATGCACTCTATACTAAAATGCATATGCCATAGCACTAAGATGCAGTATGAACTTCTAAAGTGTACATATTTGAAAACACAATATACGAACTTGTAAAATGCACAAGTTAAAAAGATAACATGCAACATACAAACGACTAAAATGCAACGTTGACATATTTTATCACGATGCAATTCTAATATAATTTATGGAGACATTATAAATGTACAATGCACATCACGTAACCTTAATATGCACCTCCTGGAACACTAATATGCACATCTGGTAACCTTAATATGCATACACTTCTAACAATGCTCATTTCATTCAAGAGCTCTATAATACTTACCATCTTTATGTTTTGAAAAATGGTAGTTTAATTACGTAGATTCTGATTCTATAATTCCAAATATTATTTTAGTAAAAGCTTTCATAAAATATTAATTACAAAATGGTTAGTTTCTTTTAAGTTTATGGTTAGCATTAATCTAGAGGTCTAGTCATTAAACTATTGCCAAAAATAACTAGAACTACCGGACACTTTTAATTTGTAAATTACTATAGTATCCCTTCTTACTAACCGTTCCATTTATAGTTGTCAATTTTGTTGTGATTCCATGTGTCGTCCACATCCCCTTATCATGCATCTCACACGGATGCCCTTTATTTAGTACAAACAGACGCACGAGATTAGTTTGTAGTTTGTATGGGAGGACTGGTTTGCATGTGATCTTGCCCCTATATACATATATATATATATATTAGAGATCAAATACAAACCCTTCTTAATTTACCAACCTACAAACTAATCCTAGCCATCCATTTCCTTTGATCTTACCTGCGTTCAATGTCAGAGGCAATTGTTTAACTTAATCAATTGAGGGGTCTTTAAGTCTTTTTACTTTGTTTTAATTTTAGAAACAAAACACGTTCTCTTTCCATAACTGCTTCTTCATTATTGTTTTCTTTTCTTCTTTCTTCGGTATTGAAGCTTTAGTTCATTCTCATCTCAAAATTTTGTTTCTTCTCCATCGTACAAATTTGCTTTGGGTATAACTTCTTCACCACCATTAACAGGGGAGACCATGGGTTCCGATATTAAACCCTATATAGTTTCGTGAATTCTTTTTTTAATTTATCTCCATCTCCTATTCCTTCGTCCTCATGAAATTTTGCATTTTAGAAAATCTTTTTTTTTTGTTTTTTATGAGATTAATCATATTTTAACGTTTTGATTTTCGTCTTCATGAAATTAATCAAATTCGTATTTATACAAAATAAAAAATGTTTAAGTGCTACTAGCTTAATTTGCCTGAAATAGTTATGGTGTTCTCACGTTGATCATGTTTTATGCATTATGTAACCTCATGAATTTAGTATATATGCATCTCAATTGACTATATAATGCAAATGCCATAACGATAAGATGCAGTAACTTCTAAAGTGAAAATGGGAGCTCATCTGATTAAAGTCAATATACGACTTCTAATATGCACGAGTCATAATGATAATAAAATGCAACATACGTTAATGCAATTTCATATATCTCGTAACAATAATATGCACATCCATTAATCTTGTTATGCACATTCTGTAACTTTAATATGCAGACACTTTTGCATGTGTTCACTTCTTACAAATTTAATATGCATGTTAGAAGTTCTAGTATAAAGTGTGCACATGTTATCAATATATAATGCAATTTCCATAATCTTAATATTTTAAGTTTTAAAAATAAAAGGTTAATTAAGAATTGAATTATTCACCCATATATAAATGTCTATTTACTTTTAATTTATCTCCATCTCCTACTCCTTTGTCCTCTTGAAATTTTGCATTTTAGAAAATCTTTGTTTTTTGTTTTTTTGTGAGTTTAATCATATTTTAACGTATTTATACAAAATAAAAATTGTTTAACTGCTACTAACTTAATCTGACTGAAATAGTTATGGTATTCTCACGTTGATAATAAAATGCAACATACGAGCTCCTAAAATGCAGATGACATAGCGTTAAGATGCAGTATGAACTTTTAAAGTGCACATAAATTTCTAATATGATGCAATACAAAAACTTCTAAAATGCACATATTATAATGATAAAATGCAAGATATGTACTACTATAATGCAGCATTGACATACTTCTGACGACTATACATTTCTAATATAAGTTATGAAGATATTATAAATATATAATGCATATCTCGTAACAATAATATGCACATCCATTAATCTTATTATGCACATTCTGTAACTTTAATATGCAACACTTTTACACATGTTCACTTCTTACAAATTAAATATGCATGTTAGAAGTTCTAATATAAAGTGTGCACATGTTATCAATATATAATGCAATTTCCATAATCTTAATATTTTAAGTTTACAAAATAAAAGGTTAATTAAGAATTGAATTATTCTCCCCATATATAAATGTCTATTTACTTTTTGTAAAATTTTGAACAATTTCTAAAAGTTACAAGTGAATAATTCCCAAAATAAAGAATAATTGGATTTGTTATTGCAGCTTTCATTGATGGCTAAATATTTCAACGTTAATCCTTGGATCTTTGCTTTTTTTATTTGCTAAACATGGGTGGTTGGAATTTTAGTGGTGGATTAGCTAAATTGTAGGGATAGCCTTCCCGTATGGTGCTCATTTTTTTTTATCGTGAGATTTTGTTATTAAATTATTTCCATAGATAATTAAACTTGCCGGCCACTTCTACGTTTCAATTACCATTGTGACCTTTTAAAGGCCTTAAACTTAGAAACGGTGTTATCCGTATTTATCACCTGCTTGTGTCTGCACCGTTGTAATAATGCATCCTATATGCATCAGCCGTCCGTTTTTCCAAATCCAAGGAATGCTATTGGTTTGTAGTTTGCATCGGAAACATGGTTTGTATGGGATCTCCCCCCCCTATATATATATAACAAATCTTTTCTTGGAGAGCCCAGACCCCCTCCAACCAGTGGTGGATCTTGGACATTCATTTTGAAGGTTCAAATTTATTTTTTAAATTTTGAATATCTATGTGAGTTTTTTCCAGAATAATGCTGAATAAAAAATATTTATGAAATTAGGGCCGGGTTAAAACTATTTACCAAAATATTGTTGGGATAAACTAGGGTTGGAGAAAGACGGCAAACCATTTGGCGACTCTCCTAAGAATACGGATGAAGTGCGTACAAGCTGCCGGGAGACTAACGGGTGCAATTCCTCTCCATTTCTTTATCTCCATTCCTCTCCATTTCATACAACAACATCCAAGCCTTGATCCCAAAAGAATTTGGGGTCGGCTAACATGAATCGATCTATGATATCGATGCCAAAAAGAGAAGACGGACAAGAAAAGGAAAAAAAGTAAGATAAAATGAATAAAATAAAGATAAATAAATATAAGATAACAATAACACAAGAATATAACAAAGATAAAAGAAAAAAAATAAAAGAGCATAAAAAAGCTAGAAGATAAAAATAACATAAGTATATAAAAAGATAAGGAAGATAAACGATAAAAGAAAAAAGAGAGGAAAGGTAGACAAGACATCAATCGTCCACATGGATGTGCGCCCTCCACTTTGCTCTCTCCAAAGCCATACTCTCATCCAACTCAAGAAGACGCGTATCAGTTCTGATTACTTTAATCCATATCTGTTTGGGTCTTCCCCTCCCTCTCTTCTCTGACTCTTCTCCCCACCCAACAAGTCGTCTAGCAGGTGCATCAGTCGGTCTTCTATGCACATGCCCAAACCACACCAATATGTAATATATAAAGTTAAAAAAAATCTGAAGACCATATGGGGTGAAACAACTAATTGCAATAACCCATCATCAATAAACTATGTATGGACCCTTTCAATTCAATTTTTCAATATATTCATTCAATATAGTTTCTAGTTAAATTTTTCAATATATTTACCCAATTTTTAATGGTAAATTTTGAAATGGGTGAAATCGAGTAGTAAACTTCATTTTTTTACTTCAGGGGGTCTGGGGGAGGGGGGTCGGGGGGTCTGGAGTAATCAGGGTTGAAACTCACTCCATTGAGTTTCAAACCCTTATTTGCCTAGCGGGTTTCGAACTCGAGACCTCCCACTAGACACGATAACCTCGCAACCAGCTGGGCTGGAATGCTTGGTTTAGTAAACTTCATTTTTAGAAGTTTTGTTTCATTTAAGTTGATTTGTTTGATTTTTTGTCAATTTTAGCATACTTTGGTCGATTTCAGTTGAATAAATTTACTCACTTTTAAATTCAAAGTCATAAACTGAACTGCCTAGAGTGACGTCAGTTTTGATCATTTTTATTCGGTTCGACTTCCGATAGAATGATGTTTAGTGTGGACAAATTTATTAATTACCTGACCGGATTTGTGATTAAATAAAATTATAGTATTAAAAGCGGATATAGTGAAAATTTATGAAGTTATATCTATAATTTTCTTTAAATGTAGATTAAAAGTTATTTAACCATCATTAAAGGATAAGGAGGGGGTGAGATCATATTTTCGATAGTGCAGGAGTGTGAGTGATAATGCATCAAACCTCAAGGGGGGTCTTCAATAATTTCCCATAAATAATGATGAGTTTTTAATTTTAACCCTCAGAACTATATTGAATAAATATATTGAAAAATTGAATTGATAGGGTGCATACACAATTTTGGTTTAAACTGATTGAGAATTAAGTTTATTGATGATGGATTATTGCAATTAGTTTTTTCACCCATATGGTCTTCAGTTTTTTTTTTAACTTTATATATTACATATTGGTGTCATATGAAAGATCACAAAAATATATAAAATTTGGTATGTTTTAAAAAAATTGGAGCAAAAACTTGAAAGTTATAGTCATTTAAAGAAAAAAGAGGATTTCTTCTATATTGGCCCCACCTCTTCTTCCCATACATGTTAGTCTCCGAGCGGCTTGTACGCACTTCATCCATATTCTTAAGAGAGTTCCCAAACGGTTTGGCGGCTTTCTCCAACCCTAGTTTATCCTAGCAGTATTTTGTTAAATAGTTTTAACCCGGACCTAATTTCGTAAATATTTTTTTATTTAGCATTATTCTAGAAAAAAAAACTATATTTATGTATATATAACACGTACTACCTCCGTCCCGCTATGATTGTCCCATTTTATCTTATCGGTCCGTTCCACTAAGATTGTCTTATACCAAATTTGGTAAGGTTTGTGTGGCTTTAAATCATTCTTACTTTATTCTTACTTTATCAATTCAATAGCAACCACATAAACCACTTTTTATTAATTTGCGTGTCACTCCCTCTTATCTCATTGTTAGCGGGACGAAGGGAGTATAATTTTTGCACTAACACCCTTGTACATACTCCCTCCGCCACATATAAATCTTTACATTTTCCTATTAGGGACATTCCTTTACGTCCTTTTTAGGCAATTTCTTTTACATTAAATGTCCTAAATACCCTTAAGTACTCACTTACTTTTTACATTTGAGTGCATAACATTAATTTCCCCCAAAAGTTAAAGGTCATGCAAGACATTTGTTCTTCTATGAATTCAGCTCCTAAATACGGTGCCAAAACCAAACGTCAAGTTATATCCAGGACGGAGAAAGTATATTTTTACACTATTCGTTAAATTTTTGAGTGCCCACATGAACAGTTTTGATCTACCATACATTTGGGCACTTCCTCTAGCCCTGTGTCTCCAACCTGATAGTAAAACATTGTTCAACTTATGTGGGGTTATCGTGGTGATATATTCCATCCGTTCCCATATCATTTTCCCTTTATTTCCTTTTTCATTCGTTTTATTAAATTTGTCTCATACTATATTTTGTAATATTTTTATGATTCTAATTCATTTTTACTTTATTCACTTTATTAAATTAATATCAACGACACAACTCTACTTTTATTTAAAAAGCACAATTCCGTCTTGTCCCAACCAATCCTAGGGGCAAAGGTATACTTTTTTAGAATACTAACTCTAACCATTTGGCATTTAAGACAATTTGTTTCAAAATATTGACAACTTAAGGCATATTCAAGACTCGTTTGATAATGCTAAAATTGACTGAATTGGATGGAATCATAAATAGGCCTAAAAATGGTAAACAAACACAGGCAGTTTTGCACTTTTCCACACTCCTTTAATTATGAGAATAAATATACCGAGTCTCTTTTAACGAGGTGACCTGGAGCATAAAAAGAACACAACTAATACTCCTTTTTGGGAAAATCCCAGAAATAGTAGTAAAAACGTTTGAAAAAATTTCAAAATATATGATTATCATATTTTTATTTCCTAAATAAGAGTACTTATTATTAAGTTAGAAAAATACTAGAGAAAAATACTCTAATATTACTAAAACTCATTACTTTTCCAAGAATATGATCATTATGTTTTTAATCTTATTTATGACCAAATTGAACATCACATACATGGCCGGATGGAATTATGAGAATAAATAACCGGTAATGACCTTATGCATATACGAACCAATTCCTTATGTTTAGGAACAACAATTAATGCAGCCTAACACATGCTTTAATTTCTTCTTGGTAGGTAGTTAAGGAAATCCTACAAAAGAGAAGTTATTGTTGGAGAAAAATGTCTTGATAATTGAGGTACATAGATAGTAAAAAAATGATGACGGGTGATCATAGGCTGTTAGTAGATCGAGGACAATAAAGAAATGGGCAATAAATTAACGTATTGAATAGGACAAAATCACACAAATTACACTACAGTACAAATGTCGTATGATGGAAATAATCATATAGGCAGTAACTGTTAAGAATATATTATGGTGTCCAATCTAATTAAATATCTTTGTATTTGTGTAGTTATTAATTAAACGTGTAATACGGGTCACAAATGTGTATCAGCCAGGGGGCTTCCTTGTAACCCGTAAGTTAGCCAACTTCTCCTATAAAAGGAGGCTAACTTACGGGAACCCTAACGAACGAAACAGGCTTTAGAGAATAGAGGCGCAGAGATAGAGAGATTAGAGTTTGCCGCTGCTCTCCTTCTCTAGGGAGAGCAGTGGGGTTTCATACGGTATACCAGATTTGGTTTTCATCTCATAATCTTCTATCTGCTTCTTCATAACTGCTATGGTTGTTTGATTGTTTTAGTGTTATGGGTTTATCAGTAACTAAAAGACAATAAATGGATTATTGTATGTCACTATATCAAAATGGACAGAATACAAAATGAAAGTAATTGTATAAGATGGTAGTAAATGTGTAGGAGAGCAGTAAAATTTGTAGTAAGTATAATAATAATAATAATAGTAATAATAATAATAATAATAATTATAGTAACATATTTTATTAATTTATATAATATAAGAATTAACCTAATAATAATAATCGAAGCAGTATCTCGACAGTTACCATAAATAAACAATTCCTTATTTTTAGGAGATAATTAATACATTTACATACATGCGGTGGAAATTTAATGGAATCTTTAATTCTAGGATGAAATAACTACTTATCCGTTGTTGTGTGGAGCCGTGGGGGATATTAGTGGAATAAAAAGAAAATAAAGACACGTGTTTGACCAAGTACATCATGCTGAGTATTACATTAGAGAAAAAAAGTAAAGAAGTCATATTTTGGGAACATGATGATCTTTTAGTTATACTAGTATAGCACTCGTGGAAATAGCAGTTGGTCCATATAGTTTTACTCATTATCTAAATAAACATTAAAATAAATGTAACTTCTTAGATTATGCATTTTAAAAAAAATTAGACTACAATGAATATTATATAAGCCATAAAATAAATATTCAATGAAGAGTATATAAATAAAAATTAATTGACACCGCTCATTAGAATTTGCTACCAATTAATTTTATATGATTAAATTAATTATAAAATTAACTACTATTCTAAAAAAGTGTGTACAATAAGTGAATGACATAAAGTTTAAGTGAATACAATAAATATTAAAATTAAAAAGTATTAGTTAAATAAGAATTTGCTAATCATTAGTTAAATTAGTGCTATTATATAAGAGAAAATTATTCTCACTCAATTGTTAGCCGACCTATCTTCTTACACCTATATACATTACGTATGAGAGAGATCATTTCACCGCTTAATTGTTACTCACTTATCTTATCTAAAAGCTTATAATATACCTAAAAGCACTTGGCATGAGAGAGATAATTATACCACTTAATTGTTAGGTGACTTATTTTATACTTAAAAGAACTACATATATGATCGAAAGTTATCCCATTCAATTGGTAGCAAACTTATTTTCTAATACCGAAAGCACTACATATGTGATAGAAAATTCTTCCGCTAAATTGTTAGCAAGTTTATCTCAATTATAGAGAGATAATTCTTCTAATATCTCAAAACACTACATAATAGAGAGAGAATTCTTCCACTCAATTATTATGAGGTTTATCTTATGATGAATTAAAGAAATAAATAATGAAATAGTAGGTTATATAATCTTTATCAAGCACTACAAATGAAAGAAAAAAATTTCTCATCAATTGTTAGCCAATTTATCTTATACCTAAAAGTACTACATATCAGAGAGAAAAGTATCTTATACATAAAAGTACTACATATGAGAAAAATAATTATTCCGTTGAATTCTCCTGGTCAATTGTTAGCAAACATATCTTCTAATACATAAAAGCACTACATAGGGTAGAGAAATTTTGTCCGCTTAATCATTAGCAAGTTCATCTTCTTAAATCTAAAACCACTACTTATGAGTGGGAAAATTCTTCCGCTCAATTGTTATGTGGTTTATCTTATACCTAAGGACATTACATATGAGAGCAAAAATTCTTTTGCTCAATTTTTAGCCGGCTTATCTTATACGCCCTTCGAACCTAAATAAAGTTCAGTGTTTGACTTCACACAAATTAAGAAAATAAATTTGACTTTACTGTAGAGTACACTGTTGTGACACTGTTTGACACTGTTTTGCATTGTTTTGCACTATTTTGATGTAGATAATTTGCCAAATAAGGAAGGGAGAAGAAGTGTGAACTTTAATTTGGATCGCCCCCAAAAAAAGTGTGAACTTTATTTAGGATCAGAGGGAGTATATGAAAAACTACAAACGAGAGAGAAAGTTTTCCCGCCCAATTGTTAGCAAGATTATCTCCTAATCTCTTAATACAATACCTATATTTGAGAGATGAAATTTCTCCGATCAATTGTTAGCCTGCTTTTTCTTAAACCTAAAAGGACTACGTATGACAAAGATAATTCTACAACTTAATTGGTAGCCGGTTTTTGTTGCCCCATGAGGCGTCGGGGGAGGGGTTTGGGGGGGGGGGGGGGTCTGGGGTAAACTGGGATCAATCTCACTCTATTGAGAATTAAACCCAAGACCTCCCATAAGTGAGAGTGAGTTGGCCACCAGCTGAGCTGGACCACTTCATCAAGCTGGTTTATCTTATACTTAAAAGAACTACATATATGAGATCCCGCCCAATTGTTAGCAAGCTTATTTTCTAACACAAAAAAGAACCACATATGAGAGGGAAAAGGTGGCTACTCATATTCTCGAGGATTTTTGCCCCCTCTCAGCGAAAGAGAAAGGACAAAAGACACATATCTCATATCCAAAAAATGTAGAATTCGCTTTCATGGTGAACACTACAATCAAGAAAAATTATAATACTAACTGAAATATAGTTGATTTACTAATGCAAAAGCTGTAAACACAAACACTAAACACCCAATGAGTCATAATGTATGAATTCTACATTTTTTTAGAGTTTCAATGTTATACTACATTTATTTTGTTGACATTTATTATGCAATATCACGTGGAATGATTTTTTAAAGCTATAATTTGAAGGCTAAGGCGTTTATAGAAGACATCATTATTTTTCTTCCAAACTTAAAAACTTAAAACCCATTTGGTGACTTTTTTCGACTTAACAGGCTTATCGGCCAATTTTTTAACCAAACACGTAACTTTTGATTTCCCGCATAGGATTTTGTATTAATAAGAAAACGTATGGTTAGAGTTACTTTTTCTAGATGTATTGGCTGAAGTTACTATAGATAAACCAACATAGCCACTTCACTCAGATTTTCATAAATTTCAGCACAATCAGCCGGTTAAGCCAATTTCCATGTGATCAAACGGTCTCTAAAACTAATAGGCTGAATTATAAGAATTACTCGTAATGAGTTTTTCTCATGTAAACATTTCATCAAACACCTTATATCTTTTATCTTATATGCTTTGGTGCACCTATAGATCATGTAAAAAAAGAGAAATTAATACCTCAACAAATACTAAATGCGAAAAAATGAATCACGCAATAAAAGTGTGTCGCAATACTAAGTTTTGACTTGGACTGTTTTTATTCCCAGACCGGATCAGACCAGACCATATTTCTATAGTAATAAAATACATACACAAAGATCAGACATTTACCTGACCAGATCAGACCAGTTTCGATCAGACCAACAAATTTCTAATATGATGACATTCGTATGTCAAAATAGAATGGTTCACCACTAAAAATACTACCTCCGTCCCGGTGGATTTTGCCAAGTTTGAAGTAGGTGATAAATAAGAAAAATAAAAACTGTGTGATTAAGGTTTGTTCAGAGGAGGGAGAAATGTGCAGAACCAAAAATTAGTTGCTTTAATAGGAAGTAGCAAAGTTTTTTGGGACAATCTAAAAGAGAAAGTTGACAAAGTCCAATGGGACGGAGGGAGTTTATTTTTCAAAAAACGTTGTGTTCCATAACAATCGTACCCTAATCTTGTGTGTGCATCAATATATATATATATATTCCTTTGACTGCTTAGCTCACTCTAAATTTCATTCTTGGATCTGCCTCTGCTTATACCTTATAGAGAGATTAGTTTTACATAGTGATATGTTTATTAAAACGTGACATTTTTTCTAAGATTCTCATTCTTAATCAACCATAAGGCAAGTACATTTACATTTTTGAGTAATTTTCATTTATATTAAGGGACTATTCAAAAATGGGGTTTTAATAAAATATGAGAGATTTAACATTATGACATTTTTAACATTGACATTCATATTTTATATTTTCCATTTTACCAATGATATATTTTTTACCGCTTTGACATTATTTTATAAGATACCTTCAAATATTTTTTTTTTGATTTTGTATATGCAATATTGATGTCATATGAAAGATCGTAAGAAATTATGATTTTTGATATATATTTTTTAAAAATTATTGTAAAAATGAAAAAGTTGTAACACTTTGAAGAAAATAGTAATAATTTTAATACAATGGACCCCATTAATATGCCATGGTTTGTTATTACGGAGTGGTACAAATGGTTATGAGTTAGTTCCGTTACTTCCGTATGAATTAGGAAGTATAATTATTAATTAGTCCTTGAATTTGACACTTGGCATATGCATATTAAAGGAGTGAAATATGGAGAGAAGGACACCTAGGATTCATTAAGGGTAAAATAGTTATTTAATGAGCTATTTCTTTTTTTATTCGTAGTATATAAAAATAGATTTCTTTTCTTATACTCCCTCCGTTCCTAAATGAAATTCACACTTTGACTTCACACAAGTTAAGTAAATAAATTTGACTTTAGTGTAGAGTACACTGTTGTGACACTGTTTGACACTGTTTTGCACTGTTTGACACTGTTTTGCACTGTTTTGATGTAAATAATTTGCCAAATATGGAAGAGAGAAGAAGTGTGAAGTTTATTTTGAACTTACCCAAAAATGAAAGTGTGAATTTCATTTGGGACCGGAGGGAGTATATAAATAGAAGAGAGGTAATTTTCTCAAAATACTAGCATGTTAAAAAAAAAGTGAACAGATCATAATTCAAGTTTACCTTCACAAAACCGAAGGCAATGAGCACCATGAGACAACACATCAAGAAAGGACCCAAAAAATTGAAATCCCAGCCTTTCTTTGCAGCCCAGAATGTGAACAGGGTAAGCACGACAAATACAAGAACCGTCGCGCCAGCAGCCATCAGGACATATATTCCTATATATATGCACTCCATATTATATTCATGGAATCATGGTTGGCTTAATTATACGGACTATATAAAATTTTCTTGATTAATACTCCCTAGCATGAAATCTTAAAGTCCGTTTGGTAACATTGAAATTGGATGTATTAGTTGATTCTGATGAAATTAATGAATTTCTGGCTGAGGTGGCTGTATTGATTGATTAGTCGAAAAAAGGAGTCACCAAACGGGCTATTAATGTGATTTATGGCAAGTACAATTAAGATCCTTCAATACTCATTAATGTAAAGGAATATCAGTACTACTCCGGAATATCAGTAGTACTCCCTCCATCCCATTAGGAGGTTCCAATTACGGTTTACGATTTTTGACTGACGATAAAACAACTTAATCCATGCTCACACTTTGATTAATTTTAGTAAATAAAATTTACATATTCAGAAAATACATTGAACCCGCTACAAAGCCTGATAAAAAACGTAAATTCGATAAAAATTTGATATATAAAACAAAAAATTAAGAATGATTTAAGTTCGCTATGTGAATAGAGCGAGTACCTTTTTTATATGTGCAAGACGCTCCAATCATGAGAGCCACGGCGAATGTAAAGAGCAAAAGGAGAACATAGTTCCATGGATGAATCTTACTGTAGCAAATCATTGCTATGAGAACTGTTATTTGGATCAAGAAGAATATATATTATCAATTAAGAGACAGAATTCCGATGAGTGAAGGTAGTACAATGTACTCTCTATATGGCAAGGGTTACTCACATACAAAGACGAGAACGATTACGGCTATGAAGGCGATCAGCCCGCCGGTGGTGTTCAGGAATGTCTTAACGGCGGGGATTAGATACATGGCGACGCCAACGGCCGTGCAGAGGAAGAGTTGAAGGGAAACAAGGGCGTAAACCTTGCGAATGAATGCCCAACGCATCTCTGCGTCCTCATCTTTCACCGCTGTTTTTCCAGCTTCAATGTCAAAGATTGAAGGCATTGTCACATGAATATTTGGATTTTTCCTTGGAGTTTGTAAAATGGAGAAAATCCCAGGTTCCTTTATGCTATGGAATGAAGAGAGGAAGAAGAAGAAGGTGAGTGGAAATTTATTAAAAGAATTTCCGGTGGTGTGAAGAAAGAAAAATTCTTGTTGTACACAAGAATTATTACAAACACAACCCTCTAATTGCTGCGTATATATACAATTCGTTTGAAAAAGAGCTAAATTTTATACCAAAATATTTAGGAATTTTATCGATCTGAGACCTGAAAGATAAACGAACTATCAATTCGGGACCTGAAAGATGAAATGTATCGGTATAAGACTCGAAAGATGAAAAATTATCAATGTAGAACCTAACATTTTATAGGTTTTGATTTATTTAATTTTTTATTAATTCCATTGCTAATATTTGGTGAAATCTTCTTCACAAAAGTTTATTAGCTTAATAAAACTAAATATTATTTAAATTTTTAAAAATAAAAAAAAAACTATGAAAACTTAGGTCCTAGATTCATAGTTTTCCATCATTCGGGTCATATACCGATGCATTTCATCTTTCTGATCCCAAATTGATAGTCCGTGTATCTTTGAGCTCCCGGATTCATAAAATTCCTAATATTTATACACACAAGCAGCGTACAATTTGTAAACACATTTTATTTTATGTTCATACTCCCTCTGTCCCGTTGGAATGTTCCCGCTTTTATTTTTTGGATGTCCCGTTGGAAAGTTCCCATTTCCCTAAATGGAAAGTTGTCATACATCAAAACAGGGTCAAACAGTGCAAAACAGTGTCGAAACAGTAAAATTTACCTCTGGTAAGTTTATTTCCTTAATATATGTGTAGGTCAAATCGGGAACATTCCAACGAGACTGATGGAGTATAAAATTGCCCATGAAGAAATATGGATGCGTTTTCATACGTCACACATGAGGACAAATGCAGGGGACATCGGGAGAGCATCACACTACGTGTATTGACCAACCAACTACCCGGCTAACAAAGTCTTTCAGGTATTGTCTCATAAAGCTTGATGAAACCACTTCAATTCAACTAGTCTCTCAAATTTCACTCAAAAATTGAATGTATTTAAATAAATAGGACTAGACTAAACTAGAATAAACTTAGAATATTTGCAGTTTGGACTAGTTTGAGTCGCAAAACAAATTAAAACAAGCTTTAGCAAGACCATACGTATAAAGGGAAAATGAAAATTCAATAATTTGTGTACGCTCATTTTTTATACATTATATTAGATACAAAGTTGAGGGGTAAAAATAAAACTTGATACAAAGATAGTCCTATTGTGTCATGTCTTATTAATTGTCTCATTTCGAATTTGATAAAGTTTATGTAATTCTAAATCATTTTAACTTTATTCTTATTTTTATCAATTCAATATCAACCATATAATCTCATTTTTCTTAATTATGAAGTCGGTTGAAGGGAAGAAAACGAGCAAGACCAGCAAGCATCAATTGGCAATCAGCCGCCCAAGCGGCGCGGCGGCTAGGTCTACACCGAACCCCAAAATCTGCATCTTCCGTGTCAGGATACAACTGAAAGAAATAAGCAAACCGATGCCGTGATCAGATCGATCACCACCGGACAATCCAAGCTACCTAGCGGCAACCCTAGAGTTCGTAAACGTACTGTACTCCCTTACGCCATAGAGAGAAGCTCCAATATTTTCCCCTGGGAGTGGAAATTAAACTTATAATTATATCATCACTTTGTAAAAAGTAAGTAGACATAATATCATTTGACCCCTGGTGTTATTTTTATAATCTGCAAAACATAAAGTTGATTTAAAAAAGTCTAATGGAAAGATATCAGAGCATCTTCATGACAAATTTAACTTTAGATTCAAGGAAAGTAAAAGATACTTGTATTTTGATAAACCAAACTTCTACAAAAACAAAAAAAAAAACTCAAATAATTATACATGTATTTTATAAAATACGAAGTATTTATCTGCCTTTTCATTTTCAAAAGTTAAAAGTTTTATAATTATATAAGTACTTCGGTTTTTAAATTCGGGTCCTATGCCGATATTTTTAGCTGCCTTTTAATTCGGATCTTATACAGATGTGTTTCATCTTTGAGGTCTCGGATTGATAATTCTTCTATCTTTCAGGTCCCATATTCATAAAATTCCTTATATTTAAGAGATTTTTTGGTAATTTAAAAGGATGCAAAACTAAAAGTTAAAAAAGAGATACGTATTTCAAGTTTCAACCTTTTTTTGTTTGTGAACACTTAAAAACTTTTTTGACGGACTTAAAGTTAAAATTAATACTCCCTCCGTCCCATTAGCGACTTAATCCCTGCTCACATCTAGATTATTTTTAGTAAATAAATTTTACATATTCAGAAACTACATTAAAACCGCTACAACGCCTGATAAAAAATATAAATTTGATAAAATTTTGATATATAAAGCAGAAGATTAAGAATGATTTAAGTTGACCATGAAAATAGTGGACGAGAACTTTTGAATGGGACGGAGGAGTACTAGTTTTGTGCCCGGGCATTTCCCCGAGTGCAACACCTATATGTTAAATATATGTTAAATATATCTTTCGTGCGAATTTTGTAATATAATTCTCATTGCCAAAAGCATTGAAATATTTATTAATTCGATACAATATTATACAATATATAATAATAATGAATTTAGGATCCGCAACACATTAGAATGACTAAAAGACATAAAAAATCGAAAGATCCTGTTTCTAAATTCCTGAAAACTTCATTGTACACAACATTTATAGTCTTGGTGGAAAACCATGATTTTTAGAGGGAATCAAAAACTTCAATTCTTCTTTCCTCTTGACCCTTGATATGACAACATATAATTGATCATGAGTGAAGACATTTTTCTCGAGATATAGTCCAACATGAGATAAAGGCTAACCTTATCTCTTGTTGATGCTCATCGCAAAGCACGCATACCACAAACAGGAATTGCTTCTTCTGAAAACTAAAAGGGAGTGTTACATCGTACGGAGATAACGACACTCTAGGAATGTGCATAGTGCCCATCATATTTCTTCTAGTGATGATATTTGCCTCTAACACATGTTTTCCGAGCTTAGTGAGAATCAACCTAGTTCCATTACATAATACCACATATTGGTCTATATTTTTCAAGAGCATAATGGGAGCACTAACCTTTAGATGTGATTCATGATCAGGCAGTTCCGAGAGTGAGAGATTATTAGAAATTCTGGTGTGTACTTGTCACTCTCGCGACACAAACCAATATATGGACTGGTAATGTTATTTGAGTTGAGGTACGTGACATGGTCACCAAGAATCAAAGATAGCATGCAATCATTTATTTGGCGAACCATGTCTAAAGTAGGTGCATGTATCGCTCTTTCATGTAGGTAAATTGGACCACTAAGGTGTTTTTGTAGGTTAGGATAAGTGCTATTAACAATGGCTAGTAGGTAGTTATCTCCTACCTAGATAACAAATTCATCAAGTATTTCCAGTTGTCAAATTAAAATCCATGAACCTAACTTTTCAATGACACTCTTCTCATCACGAGCAATTGAAAGTAATATCATATTCTTTACGAGACACCAAAGTGAACAATCACTCCAAAGATAAGAAGAGTTGATGGTTACCAACACCACATCGGTTCTCCCCCCTTGAATTGACCAACAAAATGTGTTGGAAGTATCCTCCAAGAACAACAACCTTCCCCCCAAACGGCCCCTTTTCATTAAATAGAGTCACTCAGGCTCATTATGTCTTTCAAAATTTTATCTAAAGCCTCAAAACAATGTTTGTGCACCATTGGTGCTTCGTCTCATATAATTAGGGATGTGGATTGGAGGAGCTTTGCCTTGGGACATCCTTGATTAATATTACAACTGGAGTTTTTAACGATGTTCAGTCAGATAAAAAATCTAGAACGTGTTTTCCTACCCCACGGCAATAGTAACACCACTATTCCACTTGATGCAACTGCAAGAACAATGTTTCCTTCACGTCTAATAGACGTTGCATAGTATTCCACAGAAACATTTTTTCAGCTCTATCGTATCTGTAGGCAAAGAAAAATCCTATGTAAAAGAGTAAGTATGCTTCACTACGTGACAATAATATCATTGTAAATATATTAAAATCTATATATTTATTTTCAATTAAATCATGTCCATACTAACACATGGTTTGAAAATTAAAAATTACATTTACCTCTGTTGTTTCCACACACAACATTAACGATCTCCATGCAAATACACTTTTGCTCGATTATTAATTGGTCAATGAGATGCGAAAGCTGTCGTGCTAAGTATTCTCTTTCATAGTCCATCTTTTCATTTATAAGTGTGTTTTCATCATAACTTACATATGTTGCATCTGGTATCAACATACCTTCAAAATTTGCAAGACTCTTTCCGTTCCTTTGTAATATTCTTTTAATATTATGCTCTCTGACTGCGTTTAAAATAGACTAGTTATTAAGACACTATATAAGTGTTCTATTTTAATTTTCAAAATTAAATCTTTCGGTCCTCTTTCAATTTAGTATTGCTAGAAAATTTACCACAACAAGCTATTTTACAAATTTGCTACTACTTATGTCTGTATGTATTATCACGAGGTAAGGGTCAGATTGATCCTTGAAATTGCATAAGAAGGGGTCAAATAAGTCCTTATTGTCCGGCCATCGTCATTTGTGGAGGTTCCCGGTAGAAATTTTTGATGAATTTTTTTGATCATCTTATTCATTAAGTCCAATTTACTCATACCAAATTTCAGCTAAAACTTCAATCGGGAAGACATTCAAATGAATTCTTGAAGATAACTGCGCAGTTATCTTTAAGACTTCATTTGAATGCCTTCCCGATTGAAATTTTAGCTGAATTTTGGTATGAGTAAATTAGACTTAATGAATAAGATGCTCGAAAAATTTCATCATAAAAATTCATCGGGAACCACCCCGAATGGCAACATCCGGACAAAGCTTCCTATATAAGGACTTATTTGACCCTTTTTATGCAACTTCAATGATCAATCTGACCCTTACCTCGTATTATCACATTTGTTAGGGGTGGAAATAATCAAATGATATAAAAAAAATTTATCACAATTGTAATGTTATGATAGAGAATAGCCTTAATAATAACGCCAAATCA